TATGGTCTTCAGTATGAATTAGTCAACATAAACAAAACACAAATCCTCACTAGACCAAAAAGCAACATCCCTATAAATGGAGAAAAGATTGAAGTTGTCAGGGATTTCATTTTCCTTGGATCCACAATCAATACCCATTTAAGCAGCAGTCAAGAAATCACACATCATATTTCACTAGGAAAATTTTCTGCAAAAGACCTCTTCATAGTGTTAAAGAGCAAAGATGTCACTTTGGAGACTAAGGTGTGCCTCACAGACCAGTCCCTGGAGAAAGATATCATGCTTAGTGAAGTAGAGGGTCAAAAAAAGAGGGGAAGACCCTCAATGAGATGGACTGACACAGTGGGCTCAAGCATAGCAATGACTGTGAGGATGAAGCAGGACTGAGCAGTGTTTCAGTCTGCTCTACACTGGGTTGCTATCAAAACTCAAAATCGGAGCCAACTCAGTGGCACCTAACAAGTCAATGTGATTCCTATGTATTCCATCTGGTGAGGTCCATATGTTCAGTAGTCAATTACATTATTTTAAAAAAAAAGGTACTTAAAATGAGTAAGTTGTTGTTTCTACCACCAAGGCCATATCTGCCAACCACCAATTCTTTTTTGTTTCCAACTTTCACATTCCAATCACCAATAATTACGTTGGTTGCACATTTCATCAATTTCAGACTGTTGAAGTTGGTAAAAATCTTTAATTTCTTCATCTTTGGTATTAGTGGTTGGTGTGTAAATTTGAATAATGGTAGTATTAACTGGTCTTTCTCAAAGGCATATGGATATTGTCCTATCTCTGACAGTGCTGTACGTCAGGATGAACCCATCTATTCCCCCACAGAAGATGAATGTCATGCTATTCCTCTTCAATTTGTCATTCCCAGCATACCCTACGACTGTTGATTCAAAAAAAATGACCAGTACTAGTCCATTTCAGGTTACTAAGCCTAGGACATTGATCTTCATGTGTTCCATTTCATTTTTGACAACTTCTGATTTTCCTAGATTTATACTTAGTACATTTTACACTCCAATTATTAATGGATGTTTACAGTTATTCCTTTTCGTTTTGAGTAATGACACACCAACAAGTGAAGGTCTCAAAACCTTTACTCCATCCACATCATTAAGTTTACCTTAGTTGAAGGAGGCAAATTTTCCCTAATCATATTTTGAGTACTTCCAATCTGAGAGGCACTTTAACAGACAATGTTCTGGTGTTATTCATAACGTTTTCACTGGCCAATTTTTTCAGAAGTAGATTGTCAGTCCTTCTTCCTACTCCATCTTAGTCTGGAAACGCCACTGAAACCTATCTGTGATGGGTGATCCCACTGGAATTTCAAACACTGAAGGTATCACCTCCAATACCACAGCAACATGTGAGCCACTACAATACAAACCGACAGACAAGTGGTGGTATCTATACTATGTTGTTGTTGTTGTTATGTGCCGTCAAGCCGGACCCGACTCATAGCGACCCCTCCTTGGGTTGCTGAGGCAGTATCACTACGGAAGTAGATTGACCCATCTTCCTTCCGAGGAGTGGCTGGTGGGTTTGAACCGCCAGCCTTCTGGTGAGCAGTCAAGTACCTTAGGTACTATGCTACCAGAGCTCCCATTTATACTATACAACCACAAAAAAAAAAAAAAAAACTCTAGGCAGATTGTAGAATCAAATGTGGAAAGATAACACAATAAAACTTTTAGAAAAATGTATACTTACTTCGTATTGCTAATACCAGTAACCTAGTTCAAGCCCTCATCACCCCACACATAGACTACTGTTTCCTCAAGAATAATTACTGGAAGAATTATAAAGAAGATAGTTACTCTAAGACAGTTTTCAAATTTTCTGACCACAACCCACAGAAATGTATTTAATACACAAAACACACACTTCTTGATATGTAAAAACAAGTTTCATGAAACACTTTTTAACCTTAAGCTACATTCTAGTATTTTTCTTTTTTTTTTATTTAATTGTTTTAAATTCTGATTACAGACCACCAAAATGTTTATGTACCATCAGTGGGTCACAACTCAATGTGAAAAACATCACTTTGGGAAATCAGACAAGGAAACATGACTTTAGTCTTAGATGGCCTGGTAAGACTCTTTGGAGAGAATTTTAAAATAGGGTCTGTAAATAAAATTTAAACTAGGATAGAAGTTATCAGACATAAAATGACTTGCCCAAGTTCACCTGTCTTAGTTCTCTAGTGCTGCTGTAACAGAAATACCACAAGTAGGTAGCTTTAACAAAAAGATTTCTTTTCTCACAATTTAGGAGGCTAAAAGTCCAAATTCAGGGTGCTGGCCAAGGGGAAGGCTTTCTCTCTCTGGTAGTTCTGGATGAAAGACCTTGTCCCTTTGAGTTTCTGCTCCTAGATGATCTTCACATGGCTTGGCATCTCTCTTCCCCTATCTCTATTCCTTTTGTCTGTTTGTTTCATCTCTTTTCTATCTCAAAACAGATTGACTCAAGACACACCCTACACCAATTCTGTCTTACTAACATAACAAAGACAACCCATTTCAAACAGAATTATAACCACAGGCACAGAAGTTAGGATTTATCACACATATTTCTGGGGTGACACAATTCAATATATAACATCAATTGCTTACAACAAACAGCAAAATCAAGATTAAAACTGAGGTGTTTTGACTTTGAGGCTATTTCCTAACCATTTTACAAAACAGTTTTTGACTTAAAAGATATAAATAAACATACATATATATACATGTGATACAGTCAATTGCTTGGTATGGCCCTTTTGGTGGTAACTCCCACCAAATAACTGGGTGGGAGTACACAATTGTGAAGTGCTTGTGGCTCACCAAGGGGACTAGATAACTTGCTAATAACGTAAATATGATGCACAGCACTGTTATGGGAGTGGGAATAACATGTATGGACTCTTAATATGGGGACTGGTCAGTTTTGCCATTTGCTAGGCTAAAATGGGCCATCCCAGAGGTGGAGGTATCTCACTAGCATCAATAAAGAAGAGCCAAGAGTAGAGCACACCCTCTGGACCCAAAATCCCTGGACTGAACCTCCTTGATCCAGGAGACAGAGAACTGTAACACCAGAGACAGTGAGAGACAACCAGAAGCAGCGACAGAGAAACAGTGACAGCACAGACAGTAGAACTAAGAGACCAACCCACATAAGACAGAGCAGGTGGGCTTCTGTGCCCATGGAATGAGAAAGCTGAGTACCTTTGGGTAGGGCTTGCTAATGGAGTGAGATGCCCCTCTGAGCAACTATCAGAGCGCTAAAAGAGTTTTGTAACAGTGGTCAGAGCACTGCAAAGGTCAAGGAACCACAGAGCCAAGAAGCCATGGCCAGAGAGAAACATGCCTATGGCATGGCTGAGAAGAGGCTGTTCTAATTGAAGAACTGTATCCTGGTTGTTTCTGATCGTATATTGTAAACTGTTACTTCCCTAATAAACCCCATAATTGTGAGTATTGTCTGTGAGCTCTCTGTAGCCACTGCAACAAATTATTGAACGCAGCAGAGAAGTAGAGAGTGCCATGGGACAGACAATTGGTGTCAGAATTGGTAAAAAGTTTGGAGGCACGCCTGTTGGACCTCTATCTCATATCATAGGACACACCCTTAGGCTGTTGGTGTTGATCTTGATGGTCTTCCTGCCTTGTGAAGTTAGAGGAGGTCAGACAGTGCCTTGAAGCCATTTTTACTATATATTTATATACATATACACATACACACACACACACACATATATATATATGTATATATAAAAATAATAAGCCATTTGGCTGCTAACCAAAAAGTCAGCAGTTTAAACCCACCAGCCACTCTGAAGAAGGAAGATGGGGCAATCCACTTCCACAAAGATTTACAGCCTCAGAAACCCAATGGAGGTCACTGTAAGTCGAATCCATTTGATTGCAATGAGTTTGGTTACACATATATATGGACAACTCTGGTAGCATAGTGCCTAAGGCACTTGATTGCTAACCAGAAGGCTGGCGGTTCAAACCCACCAGCCACTCCTCAGAAGGAAGACTAGACAATCTATTTCCGTAGTGATGCAACCCAAGGAGGGATCGCTATGATTTGGGGCTGACTCAACAGCACATAGCAACAACATACACATACACATACACATACACACACACACATATATATACACTTGTAAATATCTATATATGCATCATAATGATCCAATCCCATTATGCATGGAGTCATCATGAGTCAGAGGCCAACTTGATAGCACCTAATGACAGCGTGTGTGTGTGTGTGTGTGTTTGTGGATGTGTGTGAAAGAGTGAGAGAGAAAGAAATACAGTAATTGTGTCAGAAGTTAGTTCATCTTAATGGAAATTAAGAGAAGATTATATATATTTATGATTTATTATCTGTGCAGTAGCAGTTATTTACGGAAAATGATAATTCTTAAATATTATATTAAGCTTTTTTAAAAAAATTCTTATACCTTTATCAAAACATTTTCTTTCAGAAGTTGATTAACTATATTAATTCTGTATAAAGCATCTCTTTAATGAAAGTGACAAAGAGAAATCAGTTCTTACCAGGCCAGCCTCAAAGCAAGCTAATTACTGAGTTCCTGCTGGTAGCATAGTGCCTAAGGCACTTGACTGCTAACCAGAAGGCTGGTGGTTCAAACCCACCAGCCACTCCTCAGAAGGAAGGTTGGGCAATCTACTTCCATAGTGATACCACCTCGGCAACCCAAGGAGGGGTCGCTATGAGTCGAGTCCGACTCGATGGCACATAACAACAACAACAACAACAACAATATAGTTTGTTAAACATTGAGGGGCACAAGGAGGTAAAAATGACAAACCTTTTCATTAAAAAACTTATGATAAATACTTTTATTATCATATTCTAATAAATTCTGATAAAATACTTAAGATAAAAATAAATCCACTTAATACAATATAACTAAAAGGTTTTTTTTGGGGGGGGATATTAATGAGCACTGAATAGAAATGACTTACGGTTACATCGTTTTTGTACAAATCGTAATTTGCAAGCTGTTCTATAGGTTGATAGTCGTATGACATCAAAATTCTGAGCACCTGAGAAAAGGGCAAATTAAAAATGGTGAGCTGGGTTTACTGTGCAATTTCTAAATGCTAGGAAATAACTCTATTCCATTATTGTGACCACAGCATGTCTCCCACTTTCTCAGGATGATTATCTTGGAACACAGACACCACAATGTGAGGAAACCCAAACTGGGCCATGTAGTTTGGGCTTATATGGAGAGGAATTGAGTCCATCAGTCAAATCCAGGATCAAATGCCAAATATGGAAGTGAGCAAGCCTTCAAATGATTCTAGCCCCCAGTTTTGAGTCTTCCAACCAAAACCCCAGACATCATGAAATAAAGTCAAGCTGTCCACATTAGGTGCTGCTCTAACTCTAGACCCACAAAATGTATGACCAAAATGCATGATTGTTCTGATTATTTAAGAGTAAGTGATATGCAGCCATAGAAATTAGAACAAGGACCAAAATTACACAAGCCTGGAAATCAAATTTTGTTCTCACTCTTTGCTACAAATGAGGCCTCCCGGATTTAAGGTCGCTTTAGATAGCTTTGGCTCCCCAATGTAAGTGTTTTAATTCATCTACCTTGCCTTTTTAAGATCTGGCAGCAATTTTTGACTCAATAAAGGGAAAATGAATTGGCACAGATTATTGTATACCAATATTTACAGGTACCTCTCATTTCTGCTCATTTCAAAAGGTAGAAGGAAAAAGAAAGATTCTTCCAGGCTTTGTGTGGAAGTAATAATTCTTAGCAAAAAGTAAAGCAAAGTTTTCTGTTAGTCTCAATTAAATCAACCTTTATCTTGATGTCATGATTTAAATCTTTCCTCCATCACCTGGTTCTCATGAAATTTCTATCCTTCCTTACACAGATTATATAGTCCCACTTTCTAAAATAATAAAATAGCTTTATTGAAATTTGATTTCCAGACCATACAATTAACTCATTTAAAGTATATTCAGAGTTGTCAATCACCATCAATTATACAATGTTTTTATCAGTCTAAAAGGACACTTTAGCAGTCTCTGTCCACTATCTAAATTACACTACTTATTTGTAATAGTTCTTTACATACTTGCGATATAAAGTATCTTGTCAGATACATATATATATAGAGAGAGAGAGAGAGAGCAAATATATATATGTAACATATATACATATATATATATATTTGCAAACGTTTTCTCCCACACTGTAGGTTCTCTTTTTACTTCTTTTTACTTTCTTGATAATGTTCACTGAAGCACATGTTTCTAATTTTGATAAAGTCCAATTTATCTATCTGTTCTTTTGTCATTTGTGCTTTTGGTTCATAGCTAAGAAGGCTTTGTAAAATCCACAGTCATGAAATACTACATCTATGCTGCCTTCTAAGAGTTTTATAGTTTTAGATCTTATATTAGGTCATTGATCCATTTTGTTAATTATTTTATGTAGTATAATGTAAGGGTTCAACTTCATTCTTTTGCATGTGCATATCCAGCTGTCCCAGTACCATTTGTTGAAAAGACCATTCCTTCCCCACTAGACTATCTTGGGACTCTTGTCAAATTAACTGACCATTATTGTGTGGGTTTATTTCTGGACTCTCAATTCTATTCCATTGATCAAGGTCTTTGCTATGCAAATACTACAGAATCTTAATTATTATAGTTTTGTAATAAGTTTTGAAATCAAGAAGTGTGAGTGTTTCCAACTTTGTTCTTCTTTTGCAAGATTGTTTTGGCTATCCTGAGTCCCTCTGTGTCCAAAGGTAGATAGCATCACTACAAGTGCGAACTCATTTCCCATGAAGAAAAAGGGGAGACTCAAGAAGCCACACTCACCACACATCTCCCAAACTATCTGTAGCCTTGCATTTGTTACAGAGAACAGTAACTTACATGAAGTTTATGGATCAGAGTGTTAACATTCACTAAGCCTTAAACAAAAAATGTTTATTTTGCGTCCCATTTTGACTATCTCCTCTTATTGAAACACAAACATCATGGATGAACTCAGGGGCTATGTGTTGATCTCCCCTGTAACCTAAAAGAATAGTGTCTTGAACATAGTAGATTCTCAATAAATGTGTTAAAAACTGAAGGGAAGATCACCCCTAGCTGTCTTGAAGAATGGACAGGAAAAGTTATCTAAAAAAAATGGAGGCAATAACATTAGCAAAGGTACAAAGACATGAAATAATATGATCTATCTGGAGGAAAACCAATTCAGCATTGCTGCGAAACAACACGTAAGGCATGAGACAGAAATTGGGAACTTGTAAGCCAAGCCAAAGAGACCAGAAGGGCTTTATTTGGCATGCTAAGGAGCTTGGGCTTTGTCATGAAAGTAAGAAGAAATTGAAGAGATTTAAACAAAGAAGTAATAGATTTATAGAGGTCATTCTGACAGCAGATCGGAGAGGGTTAAGACTAAAAGAAGGGAACAAAAACTTACTGCTTTAGTTCAGGAAAGTAACAGCAATAAGAATATTGACAATAATGAGCTAACCATATTAAGTACTTACTATTCTGTTTCCCAGGAGCTCTGGTAGCATAGTGCCTAAGGCAATTGACTGCTCACCAGAAGGCTGGCGGTTCAAACCCACCAGCCACTCCTCGGAAGGAAGGTTGGGCAATCCTACTTCCGTAGTGATACTGCCTCGGAAACCCAAGGAGGGGTTGCTATGAGTCGGGGCCGACTCGACGGCAAACAACAACAGCAACAACATTCTGTTTCCCCGGGGAGCTCTGGTAGCATAGTGCCTAAGGCACTTGACTGCTAACCAGAAGGCTGGCGGTTCAAACCCACCAGCCACTCCTCGGAAGGAAGATGGGGCAATCTACTTCCATAGTGATGCGGCCTCAGGAAACCCAAGGCGGGGTTGCTATGAGTTGGGTCTGACCCGAAGGCACATAACAACAACAAATTCTGTTTCCCAGCCATTATATTAAGTGCTTTACTCACTATAAAGCACTTCACTACTGTCTCTTTCAATCTTCACAATAATTCTATGACATAAATACTATTCCCACTTTACGTGTGACAAAACTGAGGCACAGAGACAGAAAGTAACTTGTCTAAAGTTACATAACCAGTAAGTGAGGGAGCCAAGATCCAAATTCAACCAGTCTGAATGCAGAGCCTGGGTTCAAAGCCAGATATGAGAAATATACATTATGGTATGAGGAATAGGCAGATTCAAGATTTATTTATGAGGTAAACTCAACTGAACCTGTGGTTTCTTTGGATATGGAAGGCGAGGTGGAAATGTAGTGAAGTGTCCCCAAGGGTTCTGGCTTGGGTGACCAGTAATTACTAACTTACAACTACAAAAGTTCTTAAAGACTACTCAGCCTGGCCACCCACTGGATGCCAAAATTTCATCTCTAGCATCTTCAACAAATAGTTACCTAGTTTAAGCTTAACAGACAAAATAAATTTAAGTTAAGCCAAACTCTGCCTCCTATTACTAAGACTCTAAAAAATATAAAATACAATGAGATTTGAAACAGTCTTCTGAGATCTTATCCACTGACTTTCAGACTGTGATATTCAGAATTCTGGTTGGTTGGTTGGTATGTGCCGTCAAGTCGGACCTGACTCACAGCGACCCCTCCTTGGGGGTCTGCAAAATACCTCAGGGGCTACCTCAGCATGGGTCCTTGCCTCTTCTCTTCTGCTTTAAGCTAGCAGTACCAACTGTATAATACTAGTAAGTAGAGAGTCATTTAAAGATTTCCTTTGAAAAAGAAGAGTACAGTGCTTTTAAAAGGTTTCAGTCACTGGCCCAGACTAACCACATTTCATGGCAAAGAAATTTGAGGTCCAGCCAATGCAAGCAAGGTGGTCAAGTTCGGTCATGGTCACTTAAACAAGGAGTCAAAGACTAAAACAATCCTTCAAATACTTAGGATCACTCCACTTTCCAAGGCCATTTTTTCTCTTTGAGTTTCATGTAAGAACATAATTTTTAACAGAAGATTTAAAATTCTACAGAAGTAATACCAAAGTATACATTAATTCGTTTTAATTTTTAATTTACAATTACAGTTCTAAGTGTTCTCCTAACACGTAATCCTATCTTACAACCTATATCTAGTGTAAGGCCATTTATGTAATATAGTACCACCTGCAAGGTTTATGGTAACAATACACATTACAGCAAGAAGCCTAACTTGCCTGGCAAGTGTTAAAACCACAGATATTTCAGGTAACATTTTTGCCTCACTTATTTATGATGTTATTGGAGAAAACAATTCAAGTCAATTCAACTAAAACATATGCTCTGGCCTAGGATTTTCCATCTCCATGATTCTTTCACTCTTATTCTTCCCTTTCTAAAGCATAAAGCCTAAACTTTCTAACTGATTAAACTGTGACCTGATCAGAAAATACTTTCCAGCATAAACCAACAAGGGATCCAGAAGCACGGAAAACTCACGCATTTCTATGAACAGCTGCCTCTTCTCTGCCATGGTCTTCCTCTTGTTCCCACTTTCCTCAATCATCCTGGAGAGAAACAAGATATAATAAACCACCGCATACTTAGACAATTCAACTAAGTGCTTACCATTCTACTGTAAAGAGATACAGGAAATCAACTTGCATATACATGTATTAAGATAATATCAGTAAAGAAAGGGAAGCACAATACAGCAAGATAAACCAGTGTCTCTGTATTTGATAGCTCCTAAAACATTAAAAAGGAGATCTGGTGGCGTAGAACTTAAATGGAGGAGTACACATGCTTCCTGTGCTGAAAATACAGAGCTCTGTCTTCTTTCTAGCTTTATTTTCTCTGCAAAGCTCAGGATTAGTTGAGACAGTTTCCCATATCACTACTGCTTTACATAGGAAACAAATTTGTAAATATAATTTAGAAAATAGATATGATGAAGTTCCAATAAAGAACACAAGAATAATCAGCTTATACATGAAAGATGTATAAACAAAATTTGTTTTGAATATTCGTTCCCAAATTCAAAGAGCTACTAAATGTAACTTTTCTATTACACAGTAACAGTTTACATTAACAAATGCATTATATGCCAGTCATTTGTTAAACTCTTTACAATGTATTATCTCATTTAATCCTCACAACAACCCTATGCATTGACATTATTATCATCCTCATTTTTAGATTAGGAAACAGAAGCCTACAAAAGAACACTAATTTGCCAAGTCACACAACTTATTTGTGGCAAAACGGAAATCCCACCCTTTCATTAAACTTTTTAAGTAACTGTTGCTTGTAGATGTATATTTTAAACTTTCTGTGCTTAAGAAGCTACAACACAAACAGCATGTGACATGAGCACTACTGATATAAACTTTGCGACAATTTTAGCTGAAGACTGCCTTACTCTAAGAAGAAAAAATAGAGAGACAAATAGAAAAAATAAAAATAAAATAAATAACCTCATTGCCATCACATCGACCTGATTTGACTCCTAGCAACCCTTCCTTGAGCTTCCGAAGCAGTATCACTACGGAAGTAGATTGCCCAACCTTCTTTCTGAGGAGTGGCTGGTAGGTTTGAAACACCAGCCTTCTGGTTAGCAGTCAAATGCCTTAGATACTATGCTACCAGAGCTCCCATAGACAAATAGCATAGCCAAATAATTCCCCTAGGTAGATTAAATTTTTTAAAAATCATCCCGATAAATTAGAATCACAAATTAAATGATGACTATATAGATTGCATATTCCTCAAACCAAGTTGTCTAGTCAAAGTTTAACTATAATATACCTTCATTTTTTAAACTTATTTTCCTTACCATTCTGCAATTAATATTTTGATAATTAACACTTATTCCTCCCTAAATTATTAAAATGTTAGCAAGCACATTAGTATACATGATTCTTGGTTATTTAACGATTTACCCTCAAGAGGAATGAATTTTAAACAGAAAGAAATTATGCCAAAAAAAAAAAAAAAAAACTTGTTAGAAACAACTAAAATTCAAGTAAAACCTAGGTCCTACATAAAAACAGAAGTTGGCACCAGAAGCCTCTAAACACAAAGAAAAAAGATACTCAAAAGCTTGCTCCTTCCTCCTCAACTGTGGTCTCTTACTAGGCAATACAATTTAAAAAAAAAAAAAAAATTACAGTGATTTGAGTTTGAAAGTTTATAGCGCAAATTCATTTTCCATACAGCAGTTCATACACATTTGTTATGACATTGACTGCAATTCCCCACAATGTAATAGCTCTCTTCCCATCTCTTCCCCATAGTTACCTCTTCCCTGTGTCCTTCCCTCCCACGCACATGCATACACACACACACAGACATCTCCCTGTGCAAACACTGCCCTTCTGTTCTCCCATGATCGCTCCAAGAAGCTTATCAACCTGATATAGATGATTGGAAGTCACAGAAGTGAGTTCAGCTTCAGATCTGAAGGATAATTAGAGGCCATAATCTCAGGGCTCTTACCAGGCTCTATCAGACCAGCAAACCTGGTTTTTTTCTTTTTTATAATTTTGAGTTTTGTTCCACATTGTTCTCCCACTCTATCCAGGATCTCCTGCACCGATCCCCCTCCGAATGGTTGACAGTGGTAGCCAGGCACCATCTAGTTCTTCTGGTCTCATGGTCATATAGGCTGAGGATAACATGGTCTACTAGTCTCTTGGACTAATTGGTTCCATGTGTCTTTAGTTTTCTTCATTCTTCTTTGCTCTGGATAAGGAGAGACCCATCATTGCATCTAGATGGCCGCTCACAAGCTTTCAAGACCCCAATCACTACTCACCAAAGCAGGATATAGAAGAACGTTTTTGTGTAGCACGTTATGCCAATTGAGCTTCGTGTTCCCTGCAACCATGGTCCCGAGCCCACAGGTCCAACTGTTCACTTCTTCAGGGTAGCTGACTGTGGCCAAGAAGCCACAACAATCTTGCCCCTTGCCAGCTCTACCATACACCTGGACATTGTTACAGAACATACAAATATGCATGCAGATATATCATCTGCCAACCCGATACATGATCATGGGCACACTTCCCCCTTAGGCAATAAAATTTTAAATGTTAAACAGAGAATTTCATAGTACTTTTTATAATATATCTCATTCATTATATATGTTTTCTATTTTTAACTGTTCTTTTTATCACTTTTTCTAAAGAAGGATCCAAGAATCCTTGAAGATTCTTAAATTTTTCATGACAATTTCCTAAATTTTGTTTTCATTTTTAGATTAATCATGAAAAACAATATAAACATATTCTGGATCATCCAGATGACCACCATATTACAAGTACTGCCACACAATTTCTGCATCCAGATCTGCGTGAATGATTATTTGTGGCACTAATGGTAAGAAATCACCTAAAACAGGAGTTAGCAAACTATACAAAGTGGGCCAGATCTCACCTGCTACCTGTTTGCAAGTAACGTTTTATTAGAACACAGCCACATCCATTGATTTACATCTTGTTCATGGCTATTTTCACATTACAATAGCAAAGTTAAGTGTTTGTGACAGAGACCATCTGGTCTGCAAAGCCTAAAATATTTACTATCTGGCCCTTTAAGAAAACCTTTGTTGACAGGACCCAAAGCAATCATAATTAATATTACTACACATGTCTGGCTGCAAACAGGCTGTCATGGCCTCACTGTCAGAATGGCAATAATCATCTCACATGAGTTTAAGTTTCCAGGTTCCATTACTAGAAGTCTATCTTTGGGCAAGTGCTTTAATTATGCTAAGATTCCTCATTACTAACATGGCATAAAAAAATGTACCTAACCACTGATTTCACAACCTTTTATTGAGCATCTCTTATGTGCTAGCATAGCTATAGATACCAGAATTAAAGCAATGAAGAAAAGAGACAAAGTCGCCACCTACACAGGTAGTTTATAAATCCAATGGAGAGAATCAGCATTTCATAATTAATGATGCTACTTGACTGAATGTATTATCTTTTAAAAAAAAAAAAAAAAAGTCTTCACACTTTCTAAAACTAATACAGGACAAGGTAGACACTTTAGACATTTAATGATCTAAATGGACAAAACAATGGTAGTATGCAGACAATTCTTCCAAACCTGAATCAAACAATATATAAACATGTTTTACTAAAAAATCCTTGAGTGACTAATCACACACACTCTTGAAAGAAAAATATTGTCACATAAAACAGCCATATGATCCAGCAATCCCAATTCTAGGTATAGTCCCAAAAGAAATGAAAGCAGGAATTCAAACAGAATGTTGTACATCAGTATTCACTGCAACACTTTTCACAGAGCCAAAAGGTAGAAACAGAAGAGGAATGGATAAATAAAATGTGGTGTAACACACAAACACAATGGAATGTTACTCAACCACAAGAAGAAATGAAGTCCTGATGCGCCATTACATGGCTGAACCTTGAAAGTACTATGCTGAGCAAAATAAATGCATTGCCAAAGGACAAACAGTGTATGATCTCACCCTATGAAATAATTAAATATATAAAATCAAACCCAAACCCACTGCCACTGAGTCTATTCCAACTCATAGCAACCCCCGTTGGGTTTCCAAAGCAGTAAATCTTTACAGAAGTAGATTGCCCAGTCTTCCTTCTGCCAAGTGGCTGGTGGGTCTGAACCACCAATCTTCTGGTTAGCAGTCAGATGCCTTAGGCACTGTGCTACCAGAGCTCCTTAAGTAAATATACTGAGAAAGAAAAAATATTAATGATTATTAAGGGTGCGAGGGAGGAAGAAAGAGGAGTTTTTGCTTAGGATATAATGAGCTTATGTTAATGGTGGTAGAGTAATTAGGAAAAGGATAGATAGTGAGACTGGTAGCCCAACTTAAAGAATGTAATCAGTGTCACTAAATGTAAAAACTTTTGAGCTGCTGTATGTTTTGTTATTTTTATTTTCACCACAATAAAAATATTAAGCGTCATCTGTAAAAGATTTAAAAGGAGGAGGAAATGGACATTTTAGAACTAAAATATACTACATACACAGTAACTGAGTTGTGGGGGACATCCTGGTAGACTCAACAAGAGAATGGAGATAACAGAGGAAAGTTTCAGTGTACTTCAATACAGATCAGCAGAAAATATCTAATCTGAACAAGACAGAGGAAAAAAAAAAAAAGATTAAAAAAGAAAAATGCATAGAGCCTCAAGGACCTGAGGAGAATAAGGATATCTCTAAGATTCATCATGTCATCAGAACCCCAGAAGGAAAAAGGAATGTATGTGAAGACATAATGACTGAAAACTGTATGGTCTCTGTTGCAACTACTCAACACTTTCTTTGTGTGAAAGCAGTCACAGACAATACATAGACAAATGGGCAGGGCCTTGTTCAAATAAAACTTTGTTTAGAAAAACAAACAGGTTGTCAGCCTATGGGCCAGAGTTTGCCAACTCCTCTTACAGGAAAACAATCATACAAGTGTGGGTTTCTCATCAGAATTGTGGTTGTCTAGAAGACATTGGAACAATATTTTTAAAGTGCTGAAAGGAAAAACTGTCAACACAATATATATCCAGA